AGTGAATTTCTAGGTTAGTGAAAATTTTGGAAGTTGCAATAAGAGCATGCTGACACATGCCAAAGTCAGCGACATACAGAGCATGGATATAACATGAAATGCAGTACTGAATGCCATTCTACTATTTTGATTTAAGTCATGAAAATTTTATCTTTGTTTAATTTTATCATCCATGAGTTACACAATTGGAAACTGGGAGAAAAAAAAAAGGTTAATATTTATTGGTTCAGGCAAAACTAATTTCAAAAAACACTTATCTAACTCTGTTACTTAAGAATTGTGTGTGTTGTCAAAAAACGAGAGACAAATCATGCCCATGATTAGGTTTTCACGTACATAAAAATACATTTCCCATTAACATATGAGAATTTTGCTTCTTAACAAAGAAAAGATGATGATCAGTAAACAATATTAAGAATGTTTAGGCTTTCAAATCTACCCCTGCTTTTCAATAATAATAATAAAAATTTATCCTGAAAATATAAGCAGTTTGTTAAAAGCATCAAAATACAACAGGCTTCGAGAAATAGAAATATTTTGGCAATGATTCATATGCATCTTGAACAGGTTCATACTTTGATACACATAAATGTATCAAAATATTTTTAGTCACTTTTATATATATATGTATAACCTTGTAAATAGTATAAGCAATAAGGTTGGAATGATTGAATAATAATTTTACTTTCATATTATTCCCACTCTAATGTCAAATGTAGCTATTCAAGAATCCACTATTTGAATAGTTAAAAAGTAGTCCTAATAAAAAGCTTTAAGATTTTTTTGTTACCATGATCATAAAAGTCACTGGCTATTCTTTATGTTGCAACCTGACTTCCAAGAAATTAACTGAATGGAAAGCCTAATCTTATCTATCACCATAAGTGTTCATTGGACTCCTTTGAGGACCCTTGGTCTCACTGGAAGACTCTTTAAATAGTTTTCTTTAAAGATCAGGACAGCCAACTCTTCATAACAGAAATAGAAAAAAATGTCTATTTTAAATTGTTGGAGGTTTCTGGAAAACAACATTTTCAAAATTATTTTCAAAAAAATTCTTAATTTTAATTTGGTACAAAATCCTTTCACTCATGGGAGAGGAAGATCCTGCATTCTCTGGGGTTTTGGTGTTGAGGGTATTTGCTTACAATAAAACAGTAGGAGGAGGAATAGAGAGAGATTTGGCACATCCGTTTGCCTTCCTTCTCCTCTTTGTGTGTCTTACCGACCCACAGTCGCAGTCTGCCACAACTCTTGATCTACAGGTAGCACATCAATGGCACTATTATTGTTATCTATGGAAACCTACAAAGGCTTACCAAGTAAATGTGTAGACTTTCCATTGTTTTTATATTTGCAAAACTTTCTTTTTTCCTAGCGGGGTTCCTATGCTCACTGGAAAAAGGTACAATATGTGTTGGCAAGACCATAGTGTATAAAAGTTAAATACTGGGAAGTGTTGATTTCTTGACCCCCAAATATAAAGATGTCAGGAAAGGAGAAATGAGTACCTGTTTTATGTGTGAGATCCCAAGCTGACATAGTTTTAGTTCACTGTTTTGAATAGAAATTTTAAATTGGTAGAGGTTTATGTCAGTTGTTTTACTAAGTAGCATGGTTTGGATATAGGGTTTAAATAGAGAGAAAGCAAATAAATTATTTGCTTCTGCACAGGGGAATCTTCTATTTCTGTCTGTTTTAGAGAAATACTTTCCACGAGCCAACAGAAAAAAAAAAAATTAACATAGATAAATTATATCCCATGTGAGTATGAGGGATATGCAGGAGGTAAATATAAAATATTGCTTAAAACCCAGAAGGAAACCTTTTCTTTCGGTTCACATTTTAAATTATTTTTCTCTAATACAATCTAGGTCGGCTTGTAAATAGAAAATACAAAATGAAGAAAAAATGTTTCTGCATTTCTGATGAGAAATATTTTAATACCTTCAAAGGAACATATTCGAGATACTTTAAAAGTTTCCCTTTTTTAGCATTAGTTCTTTCGTTATTTCAGCTCAAATTCATATGGCTTTGATCTTATGAAATTTATCATCTTTCACAAATTAACCACTGATAATTAAAAAGAAAAAGCCCTTCTCTGCCATGGATAGATCATCTTGCTTCATCACATATAGCAAATTGACCAATTATATTTGTTAAAAACTCTTTTAAAAAGCCTTTTTGTCTTTCCTACAGTTCTGTAGTTTCTGTCTAATAATAGCAGTAGTTACCTTCTCCATCAGAGCAGTTTGTTGTTTGGGAAATAAAAATCAATTTTATTAATAGGATTCACTCATAGATGTAAATGCCACTGTGACAGGCCATCAGTAGATCTGAAAGGAAAGCAAATTTTCTATATGCTATTATAATAATACACTTTTTCTTGGAGGGATGAGCATTACAATGTGAGTGTTACAATGAGTTTATCTCAAAACATTGAGGAAATAATCTATGTGTATAGACTTTTTCATTTGCAGTAGCATACTGCAGGCTCTTTTCAGATGCAGATCAGCCAGAGAATAACAATAACAAAAAAAAGAACTGTAAAACAGATTTAGGCATTCAGTTTTACTAATAGATGGGTGTTGTTTTAAAATCTGCCTTGATGATCATTAGTCATTCCTTGACATTTCTACCACATTATTTGATTCCCAAAGGCTGCTAAGAATCTCTATTGTCTAAAAATTTTCTTCTCCGTGGTGTGGAGAAGTCTGATATTATCAACTTTTCAAGCTGAGAAATTAACTGCCAAATATATTCTTTTTAGACAAACATAAAGTTATTTACTCTAATGTACTTTGTGAAAAACTGTGATGAAACTAGACTAAACAACTCTAAGCTATACACTGTCAAAAGTTTATTCTTCAAAGAAAGCCATAGTTTCTTGATGCATGTTCCTAAACAGATTTTAATTGTCCACCTGCTGAAAAGTGTTAGTTAGGTCTGAGGGATTTGGGTGTTATGAAACCAGAAATATTTTTGGCTTGGCTAAGACACATTAATTCAATGCAATAAATGTAGCTAAGATCACTTTTGTCTTTATGATTTTGAAATGGCATCTGAAATCACAGAGAAATAAATGTTAATATTCCTGTAAAGTAGATTATAAATCACACTGATAAGCTGCTGAAAAATATGGAATGGAAGAATAAAATCATTTTACATTTATACCATTCAGTTTCCTTTTAAGTTCAAGGTAAAACCTCATTAAGGCAATGAAGTACTTTCAGAAACCTAATTTCTAAACTTTATAATTTACATAATTTATAAAATATTTTGAAAGTTCTTTTTCTGCTGTCCTGTAGCCATCAGAAGTTCACAAACCAGAAGCTGAAAAGCACTTGTGAATGTCATTAAATAATTCATGATATTTAGATTCTTCTCCAGTACAAAGAACTGCAGAACCTTCTATCAACTTCTCCCTAGAAAGCATAAAAAAAAAAAAAGAAAGAAAGAAAATACCCTAGCAGGCAGTAGCAGACATAGATATTTTTCTATGGCTCCTATCTATATGCATCCCATGTATTTTTTTTTTTAATCAGTATCTACAAATTGTGTTTTTATCTGTCTGGACACCTGCTTTTAATAGTTCCATTTTGTTTGCTGAATAAATGCTTTTCTTTTCTTCTTTTTTTTTTTTTTTTTCCTTTTTTTTCCTTTCCCTACTGAGTGTCAGTGACATGCAACAAACAGAAATGTTTCACAGACACCATCTCAGTGACTTTCTTTGCATGTAAATGTGGCACTTTGGTTTTAAAATGGTAATCCAGTGCTGTTCTCTGTACTTAAAAAACACAGCAGTTGAAATACTTTGAAATTCTCTTGTTCCATTGCTTGACAAACTTTATTTGGCTTTTCTGCACCAAATTCATTATGCATCTAATACCTCATTATATTTTTGGATAGCTATGACCACTTTGCTGAACAGGGGAATACAGTGTTTTCTTCAAGATACTCAGTCTAGAGATTTTTATCATTAACATATTTCATCTTACAAAAAGCCTTTGTTCAGGTAAAGTGGAACTGTGTCCTGCCATTATATTACTAAGTTATAAACAGATAAAAAATTTTGTCTCCCTCCCTTATGTGCTGTGCAATAAGTCTACAACTGAACACAATCAGAATCTGAATTTTTGTTTTCTAGTTCAGTACAGTTTTCATCCTGTCTTTTTCCCTACTGATCATGTGAGCTACAAAATCTTTGCATTGGTACTTCCCTTTCAAGAGAAATCTCTGCAATACTATGAGAAAGCACAGCTAAGAAAGTATCATAGCTCTGCCTTAAGGCTGATGGAGGATCTTGAGCATAGAGGAGTGGGAAGCAGAAAGACTGACAGTAGAACAAGAACTGCTTTGAGTAAAGATACCAAGAAGCAGGTACCAAGAAGCAGTGGTGTGTGTCTTAACCCTATTATAACAGGGTTATATGAACATAATGAGTATTTTGGAGAATAGAAAAACCATACAATGCCTCCCAAAAAAATAGCAACATTACAGATTTTCTTTCCCTCTCTTCATACATGAATCTGCTAAACATACCCAAAACATGAATGAGTCTGTCAAGGCAAAGTAATTTTAACCAGTTTCACATCATTTAAAATATTTAAATATTTTGTTTTCTCTTTATTTCATTAAACATTTGTCATCAGTCACTAAGAACATTTTCGTATTAAACTGTCATTACAAAAGCATTAACAGAGATGTGCAGATTCTCAAGCACCTATATTTCAGTATTAGTACAGTTGGATGCATTAAGTGCTAGTCCCAGAAAGCATCACTAAGCAGATAAGTTTATATCAGTATATTCTTAAATGCTTAACATTTTTCTTCCTCTGTGTCATAAAAGGCAGTCACAGAATCACACATATAATCTGGTTTTCCTTTATTACCTTTCAAAATATGTTAATATGTACCTGCATCATGGGTTTTGAGGCTGGGGAGTTTTTGGTGGTTAAATTCAGTGTATTTTTTTCTCAGTGATTGTTTTTGTCTTTCAGACTTGAATCTCCTACTAGATCTTTGGTGATGGAAGCACCCAGGGGAGTGCAAGTCAATGCAGCTGCAGGAGACTTAAAGGCTACTTGTAGGAAAGAACTGCACTTACAGTCCACAGAAGGGGAGGTAGGTTCAATCAGCAGAGAAATGCTCTACAGCTTTGCCCAGAATAACACAAACAATGTGAGGAGGGTTTATCCAGCAGCAAGGTAAACAGCATGAAAAGTGTTCTGCATTTGCCTTTGTTAAAGTAATTTTGGTTTAGCTTGTTCAACTATTAATACTTATTTCCTTTCTTAGAAATATTTGAAAATATTTTAGAATATTTGAAATATTGAGTTTCATTCACACTGAAAATAAGCCTAGCTAATACATATCAGAATTGCTTGTAAATTAAGAGTGAAAGAAAAAGCTTCCCTGGAACAGAATTTGTTAAGTGATACTGGTAAAGAAATAACTTGGATTAATCTGTCAAAATAAAACAGAGACGTTTGGATTAATTTAGATTAATGCACCATTAAACCATGATTAAGAGGTTTAACAAGTGTGCTCTACCTGTGGTTTAGCTCCTTAGTCTTTTACTACCTCTGTAAGAGACACAGAGTACTTCCATTATATGTTCTCTCCTATTTCATTAGTGTCTTGCTTCAGAGATCATTGATAAATAAGGTTGACATAAAAAGACTTTAGTAAAGATTCATTGTGTTTAAACCTGTGTGAACACAGGCAAATGATTCAAAATTGTGTCTCTTGTTGGGATAGCAATCTATGCATTGCAGAAATGCATGAAAGATTGCTGGTATGGGAGTCCTTTCATCTTTAGACCATAAAATGCTATAACTTAAAAAAAAAAAGCTAAGATCTCGTTGAAGGCTATCAAGAGCTCTCACATTTCTATTAGGCACTTTGGAGAAACTGATAAATTTTCAAACTGTTCTCAGAGGGGCTTGCTACAGTGCAGCATTTTTGGAAATCCATAATGTAAATATCTCATTGTGAATGCAGATCTTTAGAAATGTTTTCTTTTGTGTTTGTGTTTTGTATTCTCTACCAAATGTTTCTAGATGTTTTACACACTATCCAACATAAGCAAAACCAAACAAAACCAACATTCACATCTGTGGCAGATAGTCCCCTGGAATGCAAACTCTGCATTACAGCGCAGCCAGGAACAATTTGGCCAATATATTGCATCAAAAGCCTATTTTGATAACATTTTTTTATTGATGCAAATATTTGTCCAGCACTATGTTTCCCTAATTCAGAGTCTCAAATCTTTGTATACCACATGCCCCACCTTATTTTTGAGTTTCTCCAAAATCAGCTCTTCCCCCAGTCTCTCATCTTTACTTACCGCCTCTCTTGCTCTTTCCTAACATTGCTGAGATAGAAGTAAAAAATCTAATCCTCTTTTAATAGTAAATATTGTCCTACCTCATCATTGTCCTTTCTGTGGGTATTTTTGAGTCTAGAGTTTCCAGTAAGCTGTCTTGTTTTCCCATACATAAATCCCTACCTGGTAAAATCTATTGTGTTTCCCAAATTTATGAACATAAATTTTACAAATAGAATGTATTTCTTTGTTCTTTCCCTTCATATTGCTGGAAGGGAAAAGTAAAACTTGAATTAAAATTAAAGTTAAGATAAGCCAACAGAAATACTGTTACCATTCCTTACTCTCCCATTATTCTTTAACCAATGCTTGTTTCTATATTGTCTTTGTTTTGCATCATGCACCTCTTTACACAAATATTTTATCTGTGGATCCATTAGGTTTTTTTCTCTAGATCAACATTGCAATTTAATTGCATGGCTTCTCGTTTTTCCAAAATATTTACTATACCTTGTTGGAAAGGTAGTTTTGGAAACAATGTCCTATGGCCTCAGTTGTACTTTGACAATGGGAATCCGAGAAAAAGATATAATTCTTATATTATGTATTATTCAGAACTGGATTGCAATTCAGTATTAAGTGTTTTCTAGTAAAAAAAAATGCCAGTGAAAAGCTGACTTTTCTGACCTTCTCATTAAAAATCATTATTTTCTCTGTGTGATAGGACTTTGCACATCTACAATTTCCTATATAGATGTTAGATTGAAAATTATCAGAAAACAAATTACCAACCTTTTTCCACTCTTTCCCAATGAAGTGTTCAATAAATATACATCTGACAAAGTTCAAAGTCTTGAATGTTTGCAATTTCAACAAGATCTGAAATGGACTGTAGCCAAAATCCACAGAGAAATTCTACCCTGCGGTCTGACCAATGCTTCTACAGTCCACTGTTTAATCTCTTCCACTGGAGAGGGTTAGAGGAAAATGCAGAAACACTTAGGAAGGCATATGACAGGCACAAGAGCATTAGCTGCTGTGCAAAGTTACTATGGTCATGTTAAGGAATTGCTGGACTAATTACAGCCTGGTGTGAGGAACCAGGGTAAACATTCGATGGATTAAATATCTACACAACAAAATATTGATTGCTTTTCCTGCTTACAGCCCAACAGACAAACCAAATTAGCAGACAGTATAAAAAAATGCTTAAAGGTTTTATCATTATTCATTTTTTAAAAAACACATTCTAAAATGACAAAGTATCTGTATTAAAAAAGTCATTTTAGCCTAAGAATTTAATGCCTTATAAGTCATGTTTCCTCTACAAATAAATTAGTGTTGCCTTTGTGAATTGGATCTGTGAACCATTTTCAAGATAAGACAATTTGTATGAGAAGGACATGTAAGAGCTTTTGTATGATTTTTATTCTAGTTAGCAAAATTTAATTTTTTATTATTTGAAAACTTTTTCAAAAACTCATCAAAGATATGTGAATTTTCTTTCTCTGGCAAAGTTATTGCCCTCTTATGACAGAAAATGGCTATGTGGCACCTGGAATCAACCAGTTATAGCCATGTTACAGAGCATTATGCATTTACTGACTAAGAAAGATAGATTTTCCTTTTATTTAAGAATAACTTCAGAATATTTTTAAGAACATAAATGTGTTTATGAAATACTTTTCCTCTAGCTTTATTTCTATGCAGTATAATCTTTAGCCTCCCACATCACAAACTGAATGCCTTTGCAAGCATCCTGAATTCTGCTGTTTGATACATTTTCTTTTTATTTACTGCAGTATTATAATAATCCTTTTAGCCCTATTACGCATCATAGTGTGTGATCCCAGACTGAATACTGGGGGCTGTAATTTAGATTCAGATTCTGCTGCCCTTTCTAAAGCTGTTGAGCTGCACCCTTGTGAGCCGAGGCATCAGCAGAATTCTTTGATTCAATTATAACTTGGCATTTAATTGTGAACTATATATTATTCTATAAATAAACCATAACCAATGGTTTAAAGCAGCAATCATTTACAAGGAATGTGAAATGTGAAGCTTCAGGCTACAGCTGAATCCACTCATTCACATAAGAAGAAAAAGATGATTTCTTGTCTGGAAATTCAGCACAATGACTGCTTTTTCAAATAAAAGTGTAATGCAAAAGCACAAATCAATTTTGAATTCTGTAGATACTTGATTTTACTAGACATAAAAACATAAAAACATTCAGATTCAACCTGAAACTCTTAATTGTGTAAAGATAGCAAGCTGAAAGGTCTATTTGATGGTGTCCACTCACTGGCCTAACAACTAATTGTAATACTTTTGACCATCCAGAATCACAGAATGGGTCAAGTTGGAAGAGCACCACAATGGGTCATTCGGTCTCACTTCCCTGCTCAAGCTGGGTCATTCTAGAGCACATAGGATTGTGTCCAGATGGTTCCTGAATATCTCCAGTGAGGGAGAATCCACAGCTTTTCTGGGCAATCTGTGACAGTGTTCAGTCACCCACACAGTAAAGTTCCTTCTCATATTTAGATGGAACTTTCTGTGAAAGAGTTTCTGCCCATTGCCTCTTAACCTGTTGCTTGGCACCACAAAGAAGATCCTGGATCCATTCTCTGAGATCATCCCTTCATGCAGATACTCATAGATATTGATGAGGTCCCCACCTAGATATCTGTTCTTGAATTTGAACAGGCCCAGCTCCCTCAGCCTTTCCTCACAAGAGATGCTCCAATCCCTTACTCATCTTTGCTGCCCTCCACTGGACCTGCTCCAGGAGCTCTGTGTCTCTCTTGCCCTGAGGAGCCCAGAGCTGGGCACAGCACTCCTGATGTGGCCTCACCAGGGCTGAGCAGAGGGGCAGGATCACCTCCCTCAGCCTGCTGGCAATGCTCTTCCCAATGCACCCCAGGACACCACTGGCCTTCCCATCTGCACGGGCACACTGCTGGCTCCTGGACAGTTTGCTGGCCACCAGAACCCTCAGGTCCTTCCCTGGACAGCTGCTTTCCAGCAGGTCAGTCCCCAGCCTGTGTGCTGGTGTTTGGGGTCACTCCTCCCCAGATGCAGGACCCTGTACTTGTCTTCCCTGAATTTCCTCTCTGCCCATCTCTCCAGCCTGCTGAGGCCCTTCTGAAGGGCTGCACAGCACTCTGCGGTACTGGCTGCATCAGCCTCTGAAGCAGAAGGCTGCTAAGCAGCTCAGCTCTCAGGAGCCTTGAGCAGCTGCTATGTGTCTTTCCAAGGAGCTTCTATGCAAGCTATGCTCTGCACTTTCATTGCATCCGGTTGAGTGTCAAAGATGAAGTCAATAAAAGGAGAAAGATGTACAGAGGCTTCTCATTTTAATAAATGTATTCATATTAATCACCTTGTCTATGACCTTTTTCCTATTTACCTCTTTATGCCCTTGTATTTCCCTGTCAAATTACAGTCTATCATAGTATCATTTGTAGAGTATATTTTGTTGTTTCTGTCATAATGAAGCTGATCCCTCATCATGGTAAGGCTTATAGCTGTCACATTAAAAATGAGCAATATTCTTTAACAGACAAAGTTTACTCAAAATCAGTGTGGCAGACAAGAGGCCAAGTTTATATTTACTGTTTTAGCACAGCACATTTAATGAAACACACAGACAATACTATTTTGTAGAGCCTAATAAATGCATATAGTACTAACATTTGATCTATAATCCTATCCAATTCTAAATCCAGGAGATGCATTTTACACAGAGATTAATAATTAAGATTTATTAATATTTAATAAAACTGTAGTA